CAATACGTAAAAATCGCACTAATATTGAATGGTGGCCAACATATTACAATACTATTGAATCATCACATTTTTTCCAATTCCAAGCCCTAGTGTGCGTCCTGTCTTGTCTTATCTCATGCCACGGTGTGTGTGTGTGTGTGTCATATTGCTCCCATGTGTTTTGTTGGGGGCTACTGTCGAGTTCTGCTTCTTAGTTTCGTGTAGTGTATTGTTGTGTGTGTCTGAATGGCTGGGAGAGGATTGGTTTGATATCAGCTTTTCGCTTCATCCAATCCCTTTTCAATCCATGTACAGGAATTTGTTGTTTGAATTATGATTATTTCAGTAAATACAGTAATTCTTTGTTTATTTTGTGCATGAAAAAAAATAACCAAATAAATCTTTGACGTGAACCTTTTGAGCCTGCTGAAGAGGTAGTGGGTCACAACACTGAAGTTAAATGTGTCGTCAGCTCTTCGAATCGAGCTCAAGAGAGACCTGGCGCTGAGCAGACCTCTGTAACCAGTAAACAGGAGAGTCACGGCAATATTTTCCAGTTTCTGTTGAATACACTATGTCTTGGTCTTTTTCATTCTCACCCCAATAATAGAAATGTGTCCACTGCCAGAAAGACAGGTCCACTGAGACTAAAGACATACAGGGGACTGCGTTCAAAAGCCTTTTTCCAATTCTTGTAATTATCTGTAAGAAAAAAACAGTACATTATTATGATTTTAATTTTGGAGACATTTACGTTGTAGGTTCAAATGATAGACCGTACTGTATATAGATGGACAATGCTAACTCCCTAGCTCAATGAAGCCCAATAGGGAAGTGCTAATGGACAGTTTTGCTCTATCTCGCTCTCAGTAACCATCTGTGGTTTATGTCGTTTATGTTTTGATTAAATGTTTGTAAATCCAGATATGAACCATATATGACTGACCAATCAGATGCCTTCATAGGTGGGGGAAACTCCAGCTTGCCTTAGCAACCGTCGTAGCAACACGTCTTCCCCTGTTAGGGCGCAATGCTAATTTTGCAGAAGAAATGCTAAAATAAGGAAATTGGCTCCAGCTCGCTTATGTTCAAAGACATTTATGGACTTTTTTATTTTATTTATGGTCTCTGCCCCTTCTGGACCAATGGCTCTATGTGTTTTTTATCATTGCATTTCTTGTATTTGAGCTGTTCGTTTCTCCGGTCGGTGTTGGCCAATTTTAAAATGTTGTAAAATCTTCCGAGATAACCACTGTTGTGATTCAGGGAAATACAAAAATGAATTGAATTGAAATCGGCCTAATATACGGTCTATGATTCTTACCAATGCTGGCGATGATGGGATACTGGGCAGAGTGGCCACACATGATCCATAGTAGACTCAGGACACGGATGCCATGGAGAGAGGGATAGCCTTTCCCTGTGACCGAGGAGGAGGTGCTCAAAACACCCAGGCTGGCGGTTTGCAAAGAGAAAGCCTCCATGCACGGGGACCCTTGTTGCTGAGGAGATGTATCTGTCGAAGAGTACGGATCACAGAGATGGTTATAAAACATTAAAACAAACACATTCATAAATATAGTTAAATATGATACATCCCAGTGCAAACAGAATGTAGGGCAGATAAAAGCAAGCCTGAATAAGTCTTTAAATGCGTCTTTTGAATGACTCTCGGATCCAGAAGGTTCTCAAATCCAGGGGGAGTCATTCCATAGTTTTGGTCCCCCCGTTTCACAAATAACCTAGGGACATACATGTGATGTTTGCTAGATTTAACCAAAACACACAACTTGAATTCTGCTGTCCATTTGTGGATGTGTAGAGCTAAAGGCGTTGGCGCTAGTGATTGGGCGATTTTACAACTAGCTTAGAAACATAGCAGCAACTTATATTGTACTGTATATTTTGTGTGCTCCCTGTGTCCTCTCACTGCTGTCCTGTATGTGCGCTGTAAGTAACATTGAAATTTCCCCACCGTTGGTCATTTAAAGAAGACATGTTGTGCACATTTGATTATTTTTCCCAGCGCCTTTTCTATTGTGAATTTTTTTTCGTTATTGTGATATGGCCTTGTGTTTGCGTACCACTAGAACCTCTTCTGGTCCCACACAGAGCCGTCTGTTCTTGTGGGCCGACCTCTCTGTTCCTCTGGCATCTGGTAAGAGCCGTGAAGAGACTCGCCGCCAGAGGAACTGCTAACATCAGGCAACACACAAACCTAAACACAAAACACAAAAATAACCAATAATAGCTTAAATAACAGTCATTTATAACGCAATATAAACATCTTGTACGGTGTGGTCTGCTGGAACAGCAGTATCACAGAGAGGGACAGGAAGAAGCTGGACAAGGTCATCAGGAAGTCCAGCTCAGTCCTGGGCTGTTCCCTGGACACAGTGCAGCAGGTGGGGGACAGGAGGGTCCTGAGCAAACTAACATCTATGCTGGACCATGACTGTCGCCCCCTGCAGGACACTCTCTCTGCTCTGGAGAGCAGCTTCAGTGACAGACTAATTCACCCTCGATGTGTGAAGGAGAGGTTTCGCAAGTCTTTCCTTCCTGCTGCTGTCAGACTGTACAACGAGAATGTGTAACAGGAACTGCTGAGTCTGCACAAGTGTTTCTGATAATTCACTAGTAACTTTGTCACTAGTCACTTTACCTGTTATCAGTACTACTACAGTACTACATATCTGATATTTACTGTTATCAGTACTACTGTATTATTTCATATCTGATAATTCTGCCTTCCACCGTCACTTTACCTGTTGATATCTTACTGTATTATTCATATCCATCTGATAATTCTCCCATTCAAGTCACCTTACCTGTTGATATTATTTCTGATGTTTATTCTCATATTCTCCGCTGCTAATGTATAATATAGACATCTGTAAATACTCCGAACCAAGTGCAATTGTAGCCCAGATTTTCTTATTTTATTTTATTTATTTTATCTTAAATTTATTGCCTATTATCTTCAATAATAGACTTTAATGTGTGCAATCTGAGTGCTCTTATTTCCTTTCTCTGCTGTAATGTGCAACGATGACACTGAAATTTCTCCACTGTGAGACTAATAAAGGTTTATCTTATCTTATCTTATCTTAAGAGCCTGTACATGTGCCATCCACTGATAATTCACTAATCACTATCTCACTCTACTCAGAGAACTGGGGCTATGCAAGTAACCCAAAGTTTATTTTATCTTAATATTTACTCACAGACAGGTGACTTCTAACGCGTTTGGTGCAACATTCCCAGTCACGCAGTGGGTCAGGAGAACCTCTTGACGGGAGTCATTCACCAGAATAGAAGGGAAAGGTGCGAGAAGAGACAAGTGGCCAAACTGAAGCTTGTCTGTCGAAAAGAAAAACAACCGATTTTGTCCAATTTAAAGCTTTAATGACTTGTGTCAAGTGCTGCAAAGGGGGTGACGTGTTTTGATACATTTATGTAAAGTTTCTGGTACATTTTCATAAGTTAAGATGGGTTATTTTGGGAATATTCCAAAGCTGGGAATTAATTGTAATGTAATGTAGTTGTATCAAAACTTAATTCACTTTATTGAAGACACATTTGAGCCAGTGGACCAAACAGTCTTGTGCTTTGGACTGTGTGGTTGGTCCTGAAATCTCCTGTACGTGTGATGGAGTCGCAGAGCCACTAGCGGTCGTGCTCTCAACAGCAGTGTTCCATGTGCTGGTCAATACAAAATTAACCTAACCCAACCTTCATTGTAGAAAATTCCCAGTTAATTCCCATTACTTCCCATTAATTTCCATAAAAAGTCTCCATCTTTGAATATTTCCGTCCCTTTGCAACCCTACTTGTATGTGCACTGACCATGCAGCACCAGGAATTGGACGTCCTCTTCTTTACAGCTGTCAGGAACACAAATCCCCACAAAATTCTCTACCGAACCCTGCAAAGACAAGCCGTTAGTGCGCCTCAAATCGATATGGTTGTTATGTTTTTGTGCATAGATATACAGTATATAATCAATCATATGTGACCTGTCGGAGGAACACTTGGCAGTACTGTCCAGAGAAGGTCGGAGCTCGAGCCGACTGACAGAGCTGCATCATCCCCGGCTGGTCCGTGTTGCCGCCCTCCACGTTGCTTCCCATTTTCCCAAAAGCGTCGTACACTGATTTTAAGACACAGCACATACAGCCTCTGTGCGTTACCGTGACAACAACATGCTCATTTGTCAGGAAATTGCTCCTTCTAATAGTTCAAGAAAGTTCATCTTGTCTTATGAATCACTTACAGTTATGAAGAAGCGACTTATCGTATTGTAAAATTAGTGGGCTCTCCTTTGTTATCTACAACAGATTTTTTTTTTTTTTACTCTTTTTAATGGCTGTGGCTAAATTATAATTACATTTATAATTTAGTGTCTTGTGATCTTAATGTTTCTTGTATTTTTAAATAATATTTTCTTATGTTTATGTAGATTATAATGTTTATGATTCATGCCTGTGATATGGGTTGTGAGGTGCTTTGTGTTGCCTTGTGTAGGAAAGGCTCTCTACAAATGAAAGTTTATTGGTTGATTGATCTTCTTTGTGGATGAAGTTATTTTCCTGGTATAGAAGAACCAAATACTGATTTGATTCCAAACCATCATTACACATACCACACAATACATACACATAGCTGCACAGTACATAATGTAATACAATACATAACACTACGGCAGACGGTATAAGACTGACAAAACAACACTGACACACACACACACATACACACACACACACACACAGAGACCACACAGACACATACACACACAGAGACACACGTACACACATACAGACACACACACACACAGACACAAATATACACACACACACACTCACAGACACAAATATACACACACACACAGACACACACACTCACAGACACACACACACACTAAAGTTCTCACCTAATGTATTTCTACAGGTCCTCACAAAAAGGACAGGAAACTTAAACATCTGGTCAAAAAGGTGATGCCGAGGAGGTATTCTCCGGCAAAAATGACACCATCCAAATCAGGTTTGTGGCGCCTTCAGTATCAGGACACTGATATTATCATTCACAGTATTTTTTCTTGAAGAATAACAACTGCCTCAAACTCCAATTTCAGCTCTGGTGCAGAGGGAAGTGTCCAGGAGCAGGACTTTGGAGGACAGCCACGACTCTGGTCAGTGCTGTTCTTGTTGTGTACCCCTAATACACACACTAATATCCATCACAATTAGAGCCAGAGTCTCAGACAGCAGCACTAAACCACTCTGTCCCTATCTCCAACAGGAACCAGTCAAAGTACTGTCCAGATCAGGACTCATTTAGGAACAATAGCATGAACATACTTTTCCTTCTGCGATCATTCATAAACAAACATAAGACGTCTTAACATGTCCAACTATGAAGCTGAAACCAGAAAATATGCAAAAATCTATAACTATCAACACACAAAATACTTACACACTACATGCATGAATACAGTGATTATACTACAACAATAAAAGCAGGAACATGAATGACACACTACTGTTTATAACTGTATTCTAATATCTTCAATAGAAATGAGTGAGGATCTAGCTCCTGCCCCAGCTCCTGCCCCAGCTCCTGCCCCAGCTCCTGCCCCAGCTCCTGCCCCAGCTCCTGCCCCAGCCTTGGCGCAGTCATCATGGCGCAGCTGCAAAGCTAGCAGTGACACGGTGTCCGAAGTGGAGATTCCCAGGAAGAGGAAAATCAAAACTCACTGGATCACCTCAAAAATTGACAGCACTGACTGACCAAGGTAAGACCTCTGCTGTGGCTGTTCTCTGGCCCACATGCCCCAGACATACACACACACACACACACACGCACACACACACATACACACACACACACACACACACACACACACACACACACACACACATGGTTTGAACAAGCTGTGCTGTGTTTCAATTATCAACTAAATAGTAAAGGATTGATATATCTCACTGTGTGTATAGAGTCATATATTAGTTTCACACATTAAATTACTGAAGTAAATTTACTTTTAAACAATATTCTAATTATGTGCTTTAGTTTAGCATCACCTGAAACAAAATAAACTCCATTCTCACTCTATATATTTTACACCTTTTACTCACTGCGAACGGCATATTCTTTTGGTTGGTCCGTGTTCATTTCGGATAGAAAAGTGTTTGTATCCATGAGACATCTTTGAGGCGAGGTCGAGTGTGTGCTGAAGCCTCCACATGAGGATACTAATATAAGCAACAGCACCTTCATTTTCACCTTGTCTGCACCGGCTCACAGACACCTGCTTTTTATTCAACATGGACGTCATTGGGAGAGAGCGTGAAATTCACTTACACCACAGCACCTGGCATTTCACTCAGGTTTGAGTAGGATTGGGTTACAACAGTTACTCCACAGAATGATCAGGATTAGGCCAAGTGTCTGTAGTGAGATGGACATGCCACAAGAGGGAGCCACATCCTAGTCCTTTGCTAAACACGATACTTATAATGGAAATATAGTGTTTGGTTGTGTTTGAAGTAGGGCTGTCAAATGATAATTTTTTTTTAATCGAGTTAATTACAACTTAAAAATGTATTAATCGTAACTAATCGCAGTTCCAACTATCGGCAAAAGGATGCCATATTTTTCTGTAAATGGTTGTTTGAATGGAAAGATGCATTAGACCAAGATGGCGCCGTGCAAGGGCGCCGCTGCAAGAGCTCCGTTGTGCGTTATTCTGTCGGTGCACACAGAGTACCTCTTTTTGCAAATGTATTCCAATGTAGTTTTTATACTGCACATGGCCAATAAATGAATCTGAATCTGAATCTGAAGATAAATGACGACATAGTGTACATATGTACTGTATTTGTTTATTATAACAATAAATCCACATAAAATGGCATTAACATGTAGTAGACAGTATTTTTACAGCTTGACATATTCCACTTCAGCTAAAGCCTCCTCTTTCTTTTTTTTCTCTCTCATAAAGGCAGCTTAATTTAGAGAATGTAGTTTCGAAGCGGGAGGAGACACGGACACTTCCTGGCTTCATAGTTCAGCTTCATAGGTGTATTACGCACAGGTTACGCACACACGCGCCTATTCTTTTTTAACTTGAATTCCCAGAGGACCTACCTGCTCTCTCACCATCTTACGCATACGTCCGTGGCATTCTGAGTGTTATTATTGGATGTATGGGCGTTAAAAGCGTTAATTTTTTTTGCGCGATTGATGAAAAAAATTGACGCGATCATTTTGACAGCCTTAGTTTGAAGTCTTTATTTTGAGCCGCTAATATCAATCCACTTTCTTGTGAATTTAGGTATTTGTGGGTGAAGTGTTTTTCCTCTGGACACAACGACAGTTTGGCACTTTTCAGCAACCCCACAGTAAAATAATAAATAATTATGCATTGGTTTTAGATAGCGCTTTCTTTGACACTCAAAGGCGCTTCACATGTCATTATCCATTCACTCCATACGCGGTGGTGATAAACTACTACTGTAGCCAGAGCCCTTGGGCACACTGACAGAAGCGAGGCAACCAATCTGTGTCAACGGCCCCTTTGACCACCACCAACCATACACACACACACACAAACACACACACACCGGACTTGCCCAAGGACACACTGACTGTTTGGTACTTTACCTGGTGTTCCCAAAAGTCTCCCATCCCAGTATTAACCAGGCCTTGCGCTGCTTAACTTCAGAGGTCTGACAAGGTCTGACAAGATCTGGCTTTTGCATGCAGGTGGCACCACACCCTACCTCTGTTACAAATGTATTTTTCCTTTTGTACAATGTTTAATTTAAAGATAACAATTCAAGAACACTATTTTGTTTTACCATTTCCCATTTATGAATACTACATCTGGATTATCATGTCACATTAACACTACTTATCATGGTGAAATTAGCACTGCACTTGACAACCAAATTGACAACCAAATGTTTATTGAATATGAACTATATACTGTAGTAACAATGGAGGTCCTACATTTCATTTTACTTTGGAAATCTCTACAAAAACTTCTATACAGTACATTCATTGGACATTAGCAGCATACAGGCCACGACAACCACCAAACAGTCTAGGACTATAGACATAACAAATACTGATACTATTGAAAATGTATTGATTACTGCCAACACACTTTCAAAACACTATATTCTCTCTCGCACTTTTACAGTACACGTTACATTTGGAGTTGTTCATATCTTGATGCTATATCGCTGCTGGTCAGTATTTGAGTTGATTACCACAACTGCTGGACTAAGGTGCCATGTAATTCTATAGTGGTAGGCATAGAGCTGCCAGCAGTGGTTTATGTTTATTTGAACAGCAGAGAGACATGAGGAGATGCACAAAATACACTTGTTTTATGCGATTAGGGCAGAGTTTATAGACTTATTATTGATGGTATCGATCCAGGTTTAGTAGCTACAGGACACACATTTATTATCAGAATAGATTGGTAAATAAGTTCAGACGTGGAAGATAACAGTTGAGCTTCTGTTCTAAAAATTATTATTAAATCATGCTGTGTCCAGGTTCGGCTTAATTTTGCCCCATCAGCGTTAGTTATGGTTGTGTGGCGAAATGTGGACAAAATGTACTTTCTTTTCCATTTTAGCTGGTGTGCTTTATAATACAGGTGAGATTAATACTCCAGCCACTACTGTAAACTTCTCTCGACAGACTTTCAAAACATGTGTGAGAGATGTGGTTTTAAGGCTTAAACAAATCAACAATTACATGAGAATTATTCAGAAATTGTGTAAATGTTTTGTTTTTCACTGATAAAGCAGTCTTTACATCTATCAGGATATCCTCCAGTGGCTTCACTTCATTTTAAATGTGTCAATCTGGGATAAGATATCACCTTTCTGTCTAAACAACTGGAAGAACAAATACTTGATTAATCAATTATGAAATAAAGTGTTGGGGAAAAAATTTAATTCTGTTTGTATCGTGATATTTGTACACATGATTAAATTGAAACGTTAGAGTATCACTTTCGATAGCGATATTTACGTTTGTGTTTTCTCTGAGTTTACTTCATTTACATTTGTGTATTACATTCACAAGGTTGCACTTGTTGCGGTGATGCGTTTTTGCTTCCATTAATGTGCAGACCATAATAAATGTGACATGTCAGTCTTATTTTCCTCAATTCTTGTAATACTTTTGAATAAGGGACATGAATCGCAATATACCGCTAAATTGAATCGCAATACTTTCTGTATCACAATATGTTAAAAATCGCAATAAAATCGAATTGTGGCCAAAGATCAGATTATTATCGAATCATCAAATTTTTGCTATTTCCCTGCCCTAATAAGAATGGCCTTAAGTTACATCCCTAGTCAGTATTCATCTCCTCTCTGAGTCTCCTCGCTTTGGCCTTAATGAAAGCCATCCCATGTGTCCTCATGTGGGTGTTCAAGATGGCCTCCGTTTCAAAGTCTCTGCTGCAGACTTTGCACCTGGTGTTTGGCGCCCCGTCGTCGTTCTCGTCGGCGCTCAGCTGGTTCTCTCTCTGGCTCTCGTCAGCCCCTCTGCCCTGTCTGGGGCAGCTGTGGCCTTGTCCGCGAGGTTCCTTCAGGCGGTGGGTGATGAACAGGTGTCTGGATAAGGAGCGAGGCGAGGTGTAGCAGAGGCCGCACTCCTTACATTGGTACGAAGACCCGTCAGTCTTGTGCCGAGGAATGTGCTCTCTGAAAGCCGTGGTGTTCTCGGTGTTAAAGCCACAAACGGCGCATTTCAGAATGTTTATAATATTGACTTTGAGCTTCTTCAAAGGCACTAAATCAAAGTCTCTGCAGCTGCCGTCTGAAGACACTTCGGGCTTTCGCTTTGGAATTATCTATTAGAATCACATCAGAATCACAGTTCTTGTTCGTCTCTGTGTCATTAAAGCTGGGGTGCCTAGTTTTGAACCACAAACAATTCAACAATCTGATCAAATCCAACCGTTCAGTTCTATCACTAAATTAATTTGAGTTAGATCAATTTTTCTTGCAAAAAAATGAAAAAGATCCAGAATCACTTTCTCTCAACCCATCAGCTCTCAACCCAAATATTTTCTTCTGTTGGGACAAAAATAATATGCTCTGATTTTTTGGACTTTCAAAGACGCTTCACATGTCATTATTCATTCACTCCATACACAGTGGTGATAAACTACTGTTGTAGCCACAGCTGCCCTGGGGCACACTGACAGAAGTGAGGCAACCAGTATGTGCCATCTGCTTCTCCAATCAACATCAACCCTTTACTGTACGCAGAGACCAGACTAATACTAAGCAATGTGGGTGAAGAGTCTTGCCTAAGAACACAACTGTAGTTTGGGCACTTTACAGCCACCCCACTGTGGCACCTGATTTTCCCAGACGTCTCCCATCACAGTACTGACCAGGCCTTACCCTTCTTAGCTTGACAGGATCTGGCTTTCACATGCAGTTAATGGAATGGAATAATGACATGTGAAGCGTCTTTGTGTCCTGAAAAGTGCAGTATAAAAAATTGTAAAATTAACAATTGTAAACCGCTTTGAGACTCAGATCTGCAGTGAAAAGGCGGTATATAAAAATAAAATAAAGGAGGAGAGTATAAAACCAATGCATTATTATTATTATTATAGTTAGAGCCACAATATGTATTATCTCTTAAAAAAATAAGTTGGGTACCCCAGCTTTAAATACCAAATACTGACAGAAAAATAGAAGAATAGATTACCGTTTCTTGAGCAGGCGCTGTCTCTGTAATTGTTGCGTTTTTAGTCTTCCCTTCTTGATGAATATTTTGATCCAACACGACTCTTTGAATAAAGGGTTGACTCAGAGGCGGACATTGTCTAAACCACAAACGACCAAAACAAATAATTCCAAGTTTATTTATCATAACTACACTTCAATATTTCTCTCATAGTGAACTCACGGATAGGAGAGACTTTTGTCCTTGTGTTTGAGGCGGTTATGTCGATACAGAGCGTGCACTGAAGAAAAGCATTTCTCGCAGTGATGACACGGGTGTTTTTTTAATACCTGAAATCAATAAATAGTGACAATAAGTAAATTTCACTTTTTTGTAAATTATTCAGAGCAGGGCTGTCAAACTCAAATTGGTCGGGGCCAAGTTAAAAAATATAACAGCTGGTTGGGGCCAGAAGTTTTTGTTGTTGTTGTATTTTTTCAGATTAATTTCTCATGAGTTTGGATATTATTTTTTTGTAGTTTTTGATTCAATCACAACTCAGCCAAATTGGGCCAAACACAACTGCGTCAAAAAAGTTGTAATTGAAGATTACAACTTAACTTCTAATGACATTTTAAAACACATTCAATTGTATGGTTGTTTTCCTGAGACAATCTGCTTTATAATGGAGTATAACAGGCCAGTATCTCATTACCATCATTGCTGCAAGTTACTGTGATATTGATAATTGAATATAATTTCAGGGGACACTAATAATGGTCTTGCGGCCGGATTTGGCCCACGGGCCTGAGTTTGACATGCCTGGTTTAGAGCCTGCACTGCAAAAAAATGATAATATATCAGTTAAAGGACAACTCACCCTCAAATCCACTTTTTTTTGCTGATAAACGGTATAAATGAGTGTCCAATAGTGTTGTCTACATATCCTGGTCATAATCTTGTCACTTTGGTGCAAATTAGTTGAAAGTTAGACTTTCTGCCTAAAACCGTCTGTGAGGCGCCATCTGCTGGCGACCTGTATTACTACATTTGAATTTTGAATCTGGCGCCAACACTGGCACAGAAGTTGGACCTGACGTCTGCAAGTTGGACCTGACGTCAGCAGCCCCCCGCCCAGAGCAATGTAAACGGCCCAGTCTCGTTCACGCCCCCTTTAGTCCTCCAGGCTACGCCCATTTAGAGGAAGATTTGAACAGGAAATGTGAGTGACGTAAGCTCCGAGGAGCGGGGGTGAGAACCACTTTAAATGATGCTTGAATCAAGTGTTTTTTAATCTTATTTTGAGTACAACTTTAATAGATTAGCCAATGGAACAATCAAAAAATGTCTTGTTTTATAAAGATATGAGAAAATTCAAAAATGTCTCCCTTGGAATGAATGAGAAATATTTTGCAAAAGTACTTGAAATAAGACTAAACAGTTTGATCTATTGACAATTTTTGTTTTTAAGACAGTCAAAAGAAGAAAAACACTTGATTCAAGCATTTATTATCTTAGACGTAATCATTTTTTGCAGTGTGGTTTCGAGCCTGGCTTGAACCCTGTACCTTTCCATGCTTTAGGCGCAGATGTCGACCGTAAGTCTCTCTGCAGCTGAAGCTCGTGTTGCACTCCGCACACACATACTCACTGCACCTCAGCTCTTTGTGGTTGTTGCTGCTTCCTCTCTTTGGCAGAGACTTGTCAGGGCTGTTTTCATTTCCACTCTCTTTGCTGTGGTTCAAGTTGATACTGGAGCAGTTGGAGTTGGTGGCCCTCAGGATCAGAGGGAGGCTGAGGTTTGGTGGGCCCTCAGCTGGCTTCAGAGTTCCATGAGTGGCCTGAGAAAGAAGCACAACTCATTACTTAAGCTTAAACTAATCATACTGGGAGAGTATTTCCTCCCAGATGGAAAGGAAAGTATTGAAAGTACAGTAGCTCTAGTTTTAACGATAATGTGTGTAAATGCCCTTTAGTGGAGATTTAATTATTTTTTCAATTATTGATTTACACTAGAAAAAATGTCCTTAATTATTATCATCAAGATTAATATTAAGAGATCCTTTATTTGCCCCACTGCAGGGACATTTCAGAATCATCATTTCAACTGCCCAACAGCATGGAAACCCTAGCTGACATCTTTGCATGGATTTGAGGACCAATCACAGAAGGGACGGCATATTATTGGACAGAGACGAGCTCATTGTACAGATTGTATATGATGACAGCAAACGCACTGCTTTTTTCCCTGCTTTGAAAAGTAATCATAGCCATTTCTTTTATTTGTTGTTGTCATTATTTGTATAGTAAGTAACGTTGTGCCCCATGCAGTCGTAGTGTGTACCTTGATGTGATCGAGCATGAGTTGTTTGTGAGCGTAGTTCATGGAGCAGTTTGGACATTTGAAAACCGCGACTCTGTGAGTGTTGACGTGTTGTTCCAAATGTTTGTAAAGAAGAGACTGAAGAGTGAATACTGTGTCGCACATGGCACATTTGTGGATCAGCCTGAAAAACAACAACAAAATGATATTTATCTTATCAATCTTTACTTACATCTAATAATCTAAATACATAAAGCTGGCAGACTACTTTAAACGTGTTACTTTTTTCTCTGTGGAAAATATGTTTTATAAAATGTGCTATAAAAATAACGTGGATTGGATTGAAAAAAACAGTGGTATATTGAAAGACTGTAACATAACTCTAAAGGTCGACACCTGGAAAAACAATTAGGACACCAAGGATTTGGAGACTTTAGACATGGTCGCTCCATGTCTAAAGTCTCCAAATCCTTCTAATGATTACACCAGCTTGTCAAAGATAGCAGACCGACAATAGGGTATTGCATAACATCGTCAAACAACAATACAAATTATTATATTACTTTAATTCTAATTCTATAACTATATTCTGTGGTCCCTCGTTTATTTGCAATGGTGATGTATTCTACTAATAACATGGAAAAAGTGAAATCCTTAAAGTAGCAGCTGTTTGTTGGAAGGCTGTAAAACCTAACCTCACACTAACCAGAGAGAGAGACCAGAGAGGGACCAGAGAGAGACCAGATAGAGTCCAGAGAGACCAGAGAGGGACCAGAGAGAGACCAGATAGAGTCCAGAGAGAGAGACAAGACAGAGAGACCAGAGAGAGAGACCAGAGAGAGAGATCAGAGAGAGAGACCAGAGAGTGAGACCAGAGAGTGAAACCAGAGAGAGAGATCAGAGAGAGAGACCAGAGAGTGAAACCAGAGAGAGAGACCAGAGAGTGAAACCAGAGAGTGAGACCAGAGAGTGAAACCAGAGAGAGAGACCAGAGAGTGAGACCAGAGAGTGAAACCAGAGAGAGAGACCAGACAGAGAGACCAGAGAGTGAAACCAGAGAGAGAGACCAGAGAGAGAGACCAGAGAGAGAGACCAGACAGAGAGACCAGACAGAGAGACCACTCTAGTTGGCCCTAACACAATGTACTCATAGTTGTCAGGCTAAATCCTGTTTAGAGTCACATTTAGAAGATCCTTTCCAAATTAAAAGTATACAATTATGAGTTCATAAGTTCAAGAAGTAAGTATGTTGTATTTATTATCCTTACTTGGGCTCTCCTGCTTTCCCTCCTGGATGCTGCGTGTGGACATGAGAGTGCGTCCCAGGGGCAGATTTGAAAGCCATGGGGCAGATCGCACATTTGTAGAAGACCTCACAGTGAGAACTTTGAATGTGGGCCTTGAGAGTGGAAGCATCCGCCAAAACCATGCTGCAGTGGACACATCTATAAAAAGACTTGAATAAGTTTTAATAACAATCTTAATTAGGGTTGCAAAGGGGCCAAACGTTTCTGGTAGATTTCCATGGGAAGTTAAGCAGGGGAATTTTGGGAATATTCTAGAGCTGGAATTAATTGTTATGTAATAAAATGGTATCATATCCAAGCGAAGATATAAAAAAGTAATGAGAACACATTTATGCAGAATGTTTTTCTACAGATTGTTTGTAAGTAGAACAAGTTCCCCATGATATCGTCAAAACACACACTAGGGGGCGTGGCCTCAATCGCAGGGTGCCCTGTGCAGGTGATTGAGGAATGACCATAGACTGTATATATTAACGAACGTAGTCACGCCTATCTCTAACTAATGGGCCAAAAATTGGGCTTTCATGGAGTGATTCAAAATGGCCGTGGGGCTGGAAAATGTGAAAAAAATGCATCTGCGCATGTGTCATTCGGCACGAGCTCCATTCATTTAAACGAGTGACTTCAAAAATTCACAACGACGAAACTAGAGTGGTCCAAAAAAAATCACCCCCCTCAGCATTGACACACATGTGGAACGGAGCTTTGGGCCAAGAGCCAACTTTTGGACCATCCTGTAAAGACGTTTTCGAGAGGTCTGCCAATGCTATATGTTAGCATTGGCTAATTCTTATTCTGGGTCCACCCCCATCGGCCCGGGGTGGTATTGCAAGCATGTCAGCGCACATTATTTTGGCCACTTTTGAGCCGGGACCCGCCCCCACTGGGAATGACCTGAATATTCAAGTTTATTTGATAAGCATCTGTTTGTTTTAGTATTTCAGTTCCCTATGAAGAGCCAACCTTCGCATTTGAATTGTCCATGTTCAATTCAGTTAATTCCCATGGAAGTTGTCACCTTTGAAAGGAATTTTGCCAACCTAAATCTAACACCCTATTATCACCTGAATTGAGTATAGCTCCTTTAATGATCCTAAATCAGCTCACCTGAACCCACTCCGCCGGCTGTAGTGAAGGCAGGTCCTGTTGACGTGATTTGCTTGAATATGGACCGACTGAAAACTGGCTCCACATTCAGGACAGACGTACGGAGCCTTGTGTTGGTGAATTCGCTGATGAGACTGAAAGCTGCATGGATTTGGCAGCATCATTTGGCAGACAGAACACGTTTTCTGGAAAATAAGCATTGAGGTTATCAAAGGAAGAAGTCACATCTATGGAGGACTCTCAAAGATGTTCTTAGAGGGACCAGAGAGAGTGAGAGAGACCAGAGAGGGACTAGAGAAAGACCAGAGAGAGAGACCTGAGAGAGGCCAGAGAGAGAACAGAGAGCGACCAGAGTGAGACCAGAGAGAGACCCGTGAGAGATGAGAGAGAGCAACAAGGGAGAGACCAGAGAGAGACCAGAGTGAGACCAGCCAAAGTAAAAAGGACATTGGGCCTCATTCACGAATAACTTCGTAAGAAACTACTCAACTTTCTTCTCAAGTTGTCCTTAAGTAGATTTCTAAGAAGTCCCCACGTGGGATTCATCAACGCACTCGTAAGCCGCTGAATTGTTCGCCGCTGTTCTCTTAGATTGATGAATCCCATTTCCTCGTAAGCACAGCGCGCGTGCCAGGTGCTTCATTAGCATAGGTACTTAGCATAAGTAACCGCCCACTAATGCCCATATAAGGGACTGCAGGGCCGTGTGCAGACGCCAGAGGAAACAGCAACAGGCCTTTACACGAGCAAAAGAGTCACCCTTTTTTCTTCTTTTACCAGACTGAGAATAAAGTTATAAAATGTTGACTTAAAAGTCGAAATATTATGATAATAAAGTCAAACTAGCAAAATTATGAGATTAATCTAAGAATATGATGAGATTAATCTAAAATGTTATGAGCTTAATTTAAAAATATATTATGTATTATTTTAAAGATGAATCTCAAAATGTTTTGAGATTAATCTCAAAATGTTTTGAGATTAATCTCAAAATATTTTGGACCCTGGGAGGAGATCCAGCGCGGACCAGCGCTGAGACCAATGCAGACCCGAGGAGAGACCGGAGTGACCAGCACACAGAAACCAGCGCGGACATATAGAGACCGCATAGACTGGAGAGACCGGTGCGCAGAGACCAGCGCGGACCTATAGGAGAGACCGCATAGACTGTAGTGACCTGACTGGAGAGACCGGTGCGCAGAGACCAGCGCGGACCGAAGAGAGACCGCATAGACCAGACTTGAGAGACCAGCGCGGACCTGTATGGATCCAGGAGCATGCAGCACGGACCCGTATGGAGAGACCAGTGCAGACCCGTATAGATCCATGGGAGAGACCAGCGCAGACCCGTCTAGATCCATAGGAGAGACCAGTGCAGAGACTCAGCGCGGACCCAGTAACCTCCTGCAGCAGCAGTATATATGCCGTTGTTCTGTGGTCCGTGGATAAAGAAATGCCCCCTATAAATAGGAAGGGGTCACTAATACACGGCAAGATTTCCAATGTATTTGATAAAGCGTTGGCACATTTCATTTCAAAATGAATTAAAAAGTAGGCCAGATCTGCAGTGAAAAAGGCGGTATATAAATAAAGATTACTAATAAAGATTACTACAAATAAATAAATACATACATCGATATGACGGACATATCACTGGAATGTTGTATTTTTATTCAACTTCACCAAAGGGGACAACCCCGGCGTGTGAACATGTCGGCACTGAATGCGTACGAGTGCTCCTGAGGACTCGTAAGATTTGTACTTGCCCAAGAGATATTCTGGTTACGAGAAATATTCGTGAATGCCACTTTCTTTGTAAAAACCGCGTAAGTAGGATTTACGTACAAATCTGTTCCTAAGAACCGTTCGTGAATGAGGCCCATTGCTTGTCTAGAAGTGAACATTAAAGGGTTAATAATCATTTGCTATTGTGGACGTTTATATATGTATTCTTTCCATTAATATTTTGACAGTTTTGGTCCTCCATAGTAAGCAATAAGAGCATACACACACCTGGTTACTGGACTCCTGCTGGTAGTGGGCTGCTAGAGAGTTGGCATCCTCAAACATTTCCTTGCACTCCCAACACTTATGGTTTGGCTGATCCAGTTTAGACACTTCATCCTCGACTGTAGCAGCACACGGCAAAGACAGTTCCACCACCTGCGACTCTCGTTTTGGAGCCTTTTTGGAGTCTGAATCACGTCTCATACTGTGTAAACTTGCCGGATTTGCGGTCGCAATCATCTGGTCAGTTGGGATCGGTTTGAGGATGAGGTTGGAGCACTGCATGGCCACACCTTTGTCTTTGTGGCTTCTGGCGTGAGACAACAGGCTGCACTTGTTGTAAAACACTAGACTTTTGTCGCAGTGGTTGCAAGCCACGTCAATTCTAACACTTCGCCGTTCGCGATGCTGGGTCAGGCTTTTCTCCAGGGCAAAAGAATCGCCACACTCGACGCACATGTAGCCTCGAGAAGGTAGAATTAGGTTGGCTGTGGATGGAGGGGACAGGTTTGGGACATAGACTGGAACGGGATTGATGCTTGTGAGGACTTTGTTGAAGGCATCACCCAGAGAACTTTGAGAACTCTTTTTGGGTTCACTAGAAATGGATTTAAGTTGCAGTCGAGATTGAAGCTTCTGCGAACAAGAGACGGCCTTTTGGAGGTCACATGCGGTTGTCATTGCTTTAGGTACAAGGTTTAGGCTGCCAAGATGTTTAGCATTCATTGCATTAGAAGAGGGTATCATAATAGCCTGTTGTTGAATGGGGTTTGCGGGTTTGACAATATTTGTACTTGGTATTGATGAGGCTGGGATAACTGTAGCTTTGACTGTGGTGTTGTCTGCCAGCATTAGGCTAATCACTTGAGAACCAACTGCTTTTACGGCTGATAATGGTAAAAAGGCAGTTGCGACAGGTTTAATCTTCTTTTGCTTTGGTACTTCTTTCACAAAGCCTCCTGAACTTGCCACTGCTGTTGTTGGCAGCGAAGAACTTAAAGTTGGCGTGCTGTTTGTTCCGATAAGATTTTTGCTAATGGTAATCCCAGACTTCTTTTGCTCGGAAGGAACTCGACTAACCTTGCGTTTTATTTGCCCTGTCTTTGTTTTGATAGTTGTAATACAGACTTTTGGGATCACAATGTCGTTGGCAATAGAGACAGAAGAACTGGTGCAACTTGCGTCATCTGTAGGGTGTCCCAAAGGGCAGTTTTGTAGCTTTGTTAGCAACTCCTTTTGGGTATTGAGTAACTGTTGGGTATTTTTTGTCTTTTTAGGAATTTCAGAACTAAAGACATCTTGAGGAGAAACACTTAGAGGTCCAGTGTTTTCTTGAGAATTGTTTTGAGATAGATTATCAGAGGTTTTGCTTTTTCCAATGGTAATATCAGACAAACAGCGAACAACGGGCGTACCATTGTTGATCCAGTTTAGTTCCTCAGGTTTTATAATTGTTTTAAATTCCTCTTGTTGCCTTCGTTCTTGAGGCAATATTGCGTTGCTGTAGTTGTTTTGCTCATGTGTATCTGGTGGTTTTTTTGTAGATATACTGAGGGACTCGCTCTTTTGGTCACAACAATCTTTAGCATTGTCTTCTTCGTCAATTTCATCAGCACTTGAGATGGGACTGAACGCGCTGATCACCGTTGCTTCATTGTCATTAGCAGGCCTTGATTTGTTTTGATTGATATCACAGCATATAGATGAGATGGAAAAAAAGCTATTATGATTTTCACCAACATCTGAATGAGACTGGGAATAGAAATGTCCCTTTTTATCCAAGTTGGTTTTGTTCTTCACTATAACACTTCTACTGCCTGAATCTTGGACGCTCTCGAGATCGCTTTGAGGCAAAGAGGTTGTTGACTTAGTTTGTTTGAGGTGGGCCTCATGTTCAACTTGGCCCGACTCAATAGCAGCTTTAGGATCGACCATGTCTGGAATGTCAAAGGCGGCCAGTAAATCATCAAAGTCCGGAGTCTTCATGTCTCCCATGATCTTACTGTTACGACACCTAACAAAGAAATATACAGTACATTCAATGATACTCATCAGGCAATCTTTTTTCAAGACTAATCAATAACACTACAGCCGTCACTTCAGTCTGAGGCAGAGAGATTAGAGAAGCAAGTGCTGCTTTGTTACCTGACGTGGTAGACTGGTAGACTTCCACCTCCATCCATCCATGTTCTACCCCTTGACTAGGCCCCCCACATGACCCTATCTCTAACTTCCGCATCCTACAGTGACCAAATCCTCAGAATCCTCCAACAGACTCCCTCATTCATAGAGACTTCGGAACTGATGCTAGAACACAATGCTAGAGAGCTATGATTGCCCTTCTTGCTTTTGTAGTGAAGTGAGGCAAATGGCAGTTCTTGCTTCACTTCACTATTTATATAGTGCCTTTCACAGAACCCAAGTCACAAAGAGATGGGAGCAGGTCGCGAGTACAGGAGGCCCATGTTTACATGTTTTTTTCAGTGGTAGGGGAAACCAGAGCGCCCGGAAGAAACCTACGCAGACACGATGAGATTATGCAAACTTCACTCAGAAAGGCCTGGAAGTGGAATCAAGCCCAGGACCTTCCTGCTGTGAAGCACAAGCGCTAACCACTGCGCCATCGTGCCGCCCATATTGAATGGTACTGACGTTGTGTGTGGGCGTATTGGTTTAAAGCAGTGGGCACATGACGTCATAGAGATTCTTGTTTGCTACTTTTAGAATAATCTATTTATTTGTTTAGTTTGTATGGATGGATGTGTTTCTGCTGCTACTGGACACCTGAATTTTCTACGGGGATCAATAAAGTATCTACTGTATCTATCTATCAAGAGTAATGAAGCCAGTGTATGTTTCTTCCGATCAAGGCACACACTTATCAGTCCATTTTATATGTATTTATTAAGAGAATAATAGTAATGCTTTGGACAGGAATTCTCAGTTATATCACCATCATGTACTCAGATCAGAAAGATGTGCGTGTGTGTGTGTGTGTGTGTGTGGCTGTGGGTGGGTGCAGACGTCTCCCTGCTCAATCACCCCCCTTCCCCCTATGATCCACACTGATATCACGACGAATGACAAAGTACCGAGGTCTGCAAGGACTTCTGCCCCACAACCGAGCACCGTGGAGCTGCTGCAGAGAAGCAGAGGTCTGGAGCAGCCCTCTGTGTCTCTCTGTGCTGCTCAGAGGCACCATTGTTCCTGTCCTCCCTCCTTCTGCCTCTAACCGGTTTGAGCTGGTTCTGGTCAGACAGCCAGCACAGCACTGCAGCACTGTGGCCTAAGAATCGGAGACAGAAACCTTCTCTGCAGGAAATACTGGATTTTTTTGCTCTATATCCCATGTAAGTATCTATATTTATGACATATACTGTGAGTCAGCATTGAAGTAACGTTATTCCTTTTCTCCTAGGTATGGTCTCTGTAAGAAAAAAGAACAAGCAAGCATAATGGGCACAGATATGAGCTTCTGATATGGGACGAGAGGATGTGTGGATGGTCAGTTTCTCTACGCGCGTATGAAGTAGCACAATGTTTCTTCATATACTCTATGTGAGCTCGAGTATGAATATGAAGCAGAGGAATAAAGCATCCACTTACATAATTGAAGATGTTCCCTTCATGATGATGGCTGGAGAAGCTCACTCTTGGCCTTTTCCTGAGCCACATCCCCCCAGTGCACACATACACACACATACACACACACACTGGTTCAGCCCGCCCCCAACACCCCATAAATGCCAAAAAACCCGACTTTAATACTAATAGCCCTGCTGCATTTCTAGCACTGTGGTCTCAGAGAAAGCAATACAAAATATCTTTATCTGTCATGTCGAGCAGTGATCACAAATCTTCTTACTACTTACTTCCACAAACACACACACATGCAGCTTCATGCATCGACAAATTAAATCATACCCTTGTCAGCTGAAGCCACACAGGTATTCAGTAAAGCAGAGTCTTGGTGTGCCAGCCCCCATGCTCCCACCACAGTATTTCACATCCTACTCAGTATCCCCCTCTCTCCTTGTGTCAGGGTCATTCCCAGTTTTGACTCTTAGGCCCTTGCTTCCTTGTTAGGCCCTTGTTCCCCTCTTCCAGCCTCTGCCACCAGCACCAGCGCAGCGTGAAGGGACAGATGAAGGAAGGGGGCAGTGTTTAGCAGGCGAATCCGGCCTTTTGCCTGAGGGGATGGGGAATCTCACTTTGGATATGTACAGCAGCATGTGGTGCAGAGAGAGGAGAGAAAGGAGACTCAGAAGAAGGAAGGGAGACGTAAGAATTACTTTGCAATTTAGGCTATTTGCAAAGTATGCTGTACTTCAGTCAATAAAACATGCAAAGACCAAGGCTCTCGCTTAGTAAAATCATTCCATGCCATGTCGGAATCTCATAATACAAGACCTACGTAATCTTCCACACACACGCACACACACATACATGCACACACACACACACATGCACACACGCACACACTCGCACACACAGACACACACACACACATACACACACACGCATATACAACACATGCATGAATCAGTGACAACAACAATACAACAACAATGTGCAGAAATGTGTGCCTTTCATTCTCTCGGCTCGTTCATGAGAAAGGCACTGACACATTCAGAATCACAATCAGAATCAGAATTATTTTTATTGCCATTGTGATTAACAAGAAGGCACAAACAATAAAATAGCTTTAGCTCTCAATGCAAACAAGTTAAAAGGTAAAAATAGAATAATGTATGTAGATTAGAGCTGCAACTAACGATTATTTTGTAATCGATTAATCTATCGATTATTTTTACGATTAATCGAGTAATCGCTTGGCTGTGAATTGTGTAGAAAAAAAATATTTTTTTCATCACAAAAAGCTAAAGTGGCAACACTCGAGGACGTATTGATGGCGTAAACTTAGAGCCTATTACAAACATTTACTTTTTGTGCTAATTCTGCTATCTGATTGGATGAGACAGACAGATTATCATAGAAATTATAAAAACAAAGTCGGTTTTAATCAAAAATACTACATTTTCATGTCATTTTTGCTCTGTTTGAGTCCGTGTGAACCAGAAAACGATTAATCGATTACTAAAATAGTTGTCGACTATTTCAATAATCGATTAGTCGTCGATTAATCGATTAGTTGTTTCAGCCCTAATGTAGATTTTGCCTTATTCTCTACTATACAAATGCACTAAGTACACACAAGACAAAATATAGCAAATATGTACTTCATTAGAATAAGAAGTGCATAGATTTCTTTGGTTAAGCTTTGTGAGTCATTTTAAATTGATCTTTGGCTTATAGGTATACACTGTAGAGGAGGATTTTCTTTGTTCGGGTGGATCCTCCAAACTATTGGTCCTCAAATTGTCAATCATTCTGGTGATATGCGAGACACATTTCAATAGGCGTTCTTTCCTAACATTTTTGAAAATCCCCCTATTTACCTTTAAGTTTTTAGATTTAAAGATGCATCCCTCTCAGTTTGTCCCCATTGTTTCATCCAGTCACAATCAGTACCACAGTGATGCAGGGACTAAGGAACTTGGAAACCATTGATCCAGTCTGAGTTTTAACCAGAGTTTCTGAGTTGAGCAGTGGTCATTCACATATGCTGAAAGTCAGAATTTCATAGTGGCAAGAGAACACAAAGTACCAATTAACATTATAGCACTTATCGACCAATAGAGCTGAAGGAGCTGAACCCATGGGGACAGTGACCTCAAACATACACAAGATGGCAGTGCAAACATCACCCAAGACAGTTACTAATAAAAACAGTGAATCATCTGTAAAAACACTGTATAATCATGGTAATAATGTCTTCTGATGGGCATATGCCATTGATAGATTCTAATTCAGTTTTTAAGCATAAAGTTCTGTTATATTTAACATCCACTTAACTTGTGTTGTGTGTTCCTCATTCCTACTGTCCTGTGACTTGCAATGCAACACTAAGATTTCTAAACTGAGATAGATAGATGCTTAGTTTATTTATTCTTCCTAATCTTAATCCTTTTTCTTGATTTAGCTATAAATTGAGAGCCTTATTTAAGCATCTTTGGGTGTCATAAAGCAGTAGCTAAGTAGTATACATTATCTATACTTTTAAGACTACTGATTATAATGTCCTGAGTGACGCGGTTGTCTTTCAGTGGTCTGACCCTGTCTCCATGGCGACCATTAACGCTTGAACCAGTAGGGCTGCCCTAATCTCGAACGCTGTCGAGGCAAATCAGGAGAAAACACAGAGGGTGCAGTGTCCCATATTCTCACGTCTCCGTCCATGTCGTGCCTTTCTGCATCTAGATCAGACTCTGGGGTCTGTTGCAAAGCAGTATTGTCTGTAAACTCCCCCTATTCCAATTCATTAAAAAAATGGTAACCACATGAAAACAAGACCTGTCATGTGGTGAGATGACGGAGGACTCAAAGGCAGGAATGCCAAAATAATGGTTTAATGAAATAAAGTCCAAAGTGAAAATAAAACTCAAAATCCAAAATACAGAACAAGGAACACAAAATCAGAAACAGGACGGAACAGAAGTTGACAATACAATGGACCAGCAACAAGGGGAAAGGAGCACAGGGTACACATAGACACAGACACAGGTGAAACACATCAGGGCGGGGCAGACAATCAAGACAGGGGAACACCACAAGAAGTCAAACTCCAAACCAAACCACAGAGAAAATGTCAAAATAAAACCAAAGTACAAAAATAAAAGCCACACCATGACAAGACCCTCCATAATATTTCCATATCCCAATGTCCAAAATAATTGCCCAGCCCTGAGTTAGCACCTACGTCCAGTACCCGCATAGAAATGGGAGTTGGGCCATATGTGGCTCTCGGGCCGCTGTTTTCCCCAGGCCGGTGTTGACAGTGGTTTCTTCAGAGCATCAGAGATTCTGTTTCCATTTGCAGTAAAACCACATTGGAATACATGTGCAGAAGTACTCAGTGTGTACCTGACAAATACATAAAACAAAACTAGCTAAAAAGTCACAAGCTGTCACCAGATCCAAAAGCAGGTCCTCCAAAGGTCTGATGGAGCACAGGTGGGGTGGAGCAGGGCAAATAATCAACAGCACAGACAGGAAGTAAAACTCAGACAAACAAAACAAATATATATCAAAATAAAAACCAAAATAAATCAACAAAAGTCCGCAGCATGTCTGGCTTTTCCAGAGTGGCTAGAAGAGTCATTGGTACATTTCAGGCCCTTTATTCAACACATTAACCCTGCTACATTAACTTGAAAACTACTCTGATATTCTGACGTATAAAATTCATTCTTCTGTCATGTGTAATGCATGCGTGTCCTAATTAAGATAACGGATGTGGCAGCTGTCACGGAGAAACCACTGCTGCTGATGCTCTCACAAAAGGAAGAGTGCCTTTGATAATTGTCACTTTTCCTTTAAAAGACTTCTTTTGTCAAACACCTTTTTGTTTGGATCGATTGTCGTCAGTTATCTCCATAAATGAAACGTATATGTCATTTTACACTGGTTTTATTTCCTGTTTGCACCATGAGCCAAAGCAAATGTGCATAGTTTGTGATTTCCTGGTACTTACAATGGAAATAAAAATCCTTCTGATTCTGAGGAATGTATTGGAGCCTAAACAGTTTTGCTTTTTGTATATATTTAAATTATTTCTATTTTGTTTTGTGATCTTTGATTGATTCAAATCTTTTGGAGTTTGGAATTTATATAAATATTTTGGCTAATGGCTATGCTTAAGATGGATATGCAATTTAGTCATTTACGTCTAAAGTTAACTCATTGACTGCTGGCCGTTTTTGATGATTTCACTGATTTTCAAGACCCACAGAATATTGTGTGCTGTGACTATGTGAAATATGAAACTAGATTCTGAAACACTGGACTGTCTTCTTTCATCAGAAGAAATAAGCTGGTTTCTCGCTGGTTTCGTTCTCCTGTAATCCTCAGTCGAATAGAGGGAAGTTTGACAGATATCACCGGACAATGGCAGTCAATGAGTTAATTATCTGCATTTGAATGAATGAATAAAAGTTTATTTAATTATGGAATAAAAAACAACAGAGTAAGAACAAACAACAACAAAAAGAGAAAAAAAGTCAGAAGCCAAATCTTATTATACCCCACTCCTTTTCCTTTTGTTAATTCAATATATTGTGATAAGTTATAAATGTATTATTGTTTGTTTGTATTATTTTTGGTATTTTGTTCAGGATTCTGGCACCAGGCTCTGAAAGCACTGCTGTGTCATGGGCACAGTGTGGATTGGAGCCACAGGTTTTAGAACTTCTTCCTGACTGGCCAGGAAAAGTCTTGCACTTATTCCCATGGATTTATTTAACGGCGCAAGCATTTACTATATGGCTTCACTGTTTTACAATAACCCTAACCCCTACAATAGACTTTTTCACTTAACAGCTTTCATTATTGCTACCACAAACTACTAGTTTATTTCGACTGCATTTATTCATGAATTAACCTGATTTTCGTTCGGATTCAAACACCGCTTTTTATGTTGGTCTGCAGCGCCCTCTGGTGGGTATTTGTAGGGAGAAATTGTGCACTTGTCAAATTGAAAAGTGTTTTGACTGGAATAAAAAAGGTTTGTTTTATATTTGTATTTATTCAAAGACAATTATAACCAAGACAGACAAATACACAGAAATATAAGTATAACACACAAAAAACCGACCAAAACAAAGGACTTTTTCACATTCACCCAAAATGTGAAACCTTTCTCAGAATTTATTTCCATTAATAAAAGCATGAATATTTTCCCCACGCTTCTGTTTCAACTGGACATTTGTCTAAAGTGGGACAGAGCTCGACATTGTTACGAAAGCGCGCAGTATTTAAAGATAATGTTTAAATAAAAAATAAAAAAATAAAATTAAGGTTTGCAATCAGTGAAAGGAGGTGGACTGATTGATAAGTGCTGCGCTGACCTGATACAGAGATCACCTGCGGCTGTGGGTTTGTGTTTGTCACGGCTTCAGCCTTAAACTTTTATACACTAAACTGTTTTATAATAATTGTTGTGTTCACTGCAAAAAAATTACAAAATTTGAGGTGATAAAAGCTTAAATCTGGTGTTTTTTTATGTATATATTTTAATTTGAGTACTTTCTGACTGTGTTAAAACAAAGTGATTTAGTCTTATTAGAGACCAGAGAGAGAGACTGGAGAGAGACCAGAGATAGACCAGAGGAAGAGGCCAGAGAGAGACCAGAGGGAGACCAGAGATAGACCAGAGGGAGAGGCCAGAGAGAAAGCAGAGACTAGAGAGAGAGACCAGAAAGATATCAAAGGGAGACCAAAGAGAGAGAGAGGCCAGAGTGATAGAAACCAGATTCTCCAATGGGACAAAGTCATTTAGTCTTATTAAGAACTGTTGCTATATTTTCTCATTCCAAGGGAGACATTTCTTGTATCTTTTTAAAACAAGAAATGTTTTTAAGCTCAGTCAGAATGTTCTCAAATTAAGACACATTTTTTCCAACTTTTAGCAATTTTTAACTTATTTGTCTTCCCTTTTTTGACTGTGCTAAATGATACGTATTCTATGATCGAAAGGGAGTTGCATCATGTCTATTGGAGACCACAGAGCAGATGGAGTGCTGTATCAATCAGTCATTTATATGTCTAGCACAATTAGTTTACATGGCAATAATATCTGATTTCTGAACATTGTAAAGCGCTTTGGGAGACCTTGGCTCTGTAAAATGTGCTATAAATAAACTTTACTTACTTACTTACTAATTGAAAGTGCTTCACAAGAGCAATTTTGTCCTGGTGAGGATTTTATTTTTGTTTTATTTTGACATCTGTTATCTGTGGATTTTATTTTAGTTTGACTTCCAGTCCTGTTTTCCCCTGCCTTGATTGTCTGCCCCGCCCGATGTGTTTCACCTGTCTCTCTCTGTGTCTATATGTACCTGTGCTTCTCTCCTCTTGTGGCTGGTTCATTGTATTTTCACGTCAAGTTCTGTCCTGTTCCTTTCGATTTTTTAATAATGAGATTTTGTTTTCACCTTGGACTTTGTTTTGTTAAATCATTATTTTTTTCATTCCTGCGTTTGGGTCCTACTTCATCTCACACCACATGATAGATTTTAAAAACACAGATCAAAATGGATCAAATAAGAAATAGGCTATGCAGTATACTTGGGCTTACTTCTGTCCGTGTGCCCCAGGGCAGCTGCGGCTTCAGTATTAGTTCATCCCCACCGTGTTTGGAGTGAAGGAATAATGACATAATAATGGCATATGAAGCTCTCTGAGAGTACAAAAAACCCACTATATAAACATTTAAACATTATTATCATTTTTACACTTGTCTTGCCGTGTACCGGATACAGGGGTTTTATGTATTTCATTATTTATTTGTCTTTTAAAGGTTGCTCCTGTAGCCTGGTCTTGGCTCTTGTTGGCTGCGACTCCACAGCTGTGTGCGTGACTCTGTGTTTGTCTTAAGGTCATGCGTGGACAATGACGGCCACCTCCTCCTTTAAGCATCCTCCCTGAGAAACACTAACCTTAACCTTTTCAACTCTTATTATCCCCAAACAAAGACAAAAGGCATATTCTGATTTGTGTGTGTGTTTTTGTGAAGAGAGAGAGAGAGAGAGAGAGAGAGAGAGAGAGAGACTAGAGAGAGACTAGAGAGAGACTAGAGAGAGACCAGAGTGAGACTAGAGAGAGACTAGAGAGAGACCAGAGAGCTCAGAGGGAGACTAGAGAGAGACCAGAGTGAGACTAGAGTGAGACTAGAGAGAGACTAGAGAGAGACCAGAGAGCTCAGAGGGAGACTAGAGAGAGACCAGAGTGAGACTAGAGAGAGACCAGAGAGCTCAGAGGGAGACCAGAAAGAGAGACCAGAGAGAGACCAGAGAGCTCAGAGGGAGACTAGAGAGAGACCAGAAAGAGAGACCAGAGAGAGACCAGAGAGAGACTAGAGAGACCAGAGAGCTCAGAGGGAGACTAGAGAGAGACCAGGGAGAGACTAGAGAGAGAGAGAGAGAGAGACACCAGAGAGAGATCAGAGTGAGACTAGAAAGAGACCAGAGGGAGACTAGAGAAAGACCAGAGAGAGACCAGGGAGAGACCAGGGAGAGACCAGGGAGAGACCAGAGAGAGACCAGAGTCCAAAGAGACAAAAGAGAGACCAGAGAGAGTCCTCAGAGAGAGACCAGAAATAGATAGAATTGAACTGAATTAAATGTGTGTCAATGTTGGACTATACTTTTTTCATTCTTCCATGAGACAGGTGCCACGCTCATTTGTGTGTTGTATTTGGTGCTAAACTCTGCCCTCTCTGACGGTACACATATACATATTTATGATGATGTATTGTGATTACTTTGATATAGCTCGTGCTTTGACCCCAGTAAGAGCTCTCCCATTATCCACAGCAATTACACTGTGGTCATGATATCACGCTGACACTTCCTGCAATCAGACGCAATCTCGAAGAAAAGCAATAATTATACAGAGAGCAGACTGATTTGTCACCGCGCAATTTTAAAGACGCGGGTTTTGACGCTCGGCTCTTCATCCAGGAGGGGCATCTATTTGAGTAAAAGTACAAGTCCGCAAGGAAACAGCACCAGGAGCGAGAATACACACCGACACAAACTGAGAATCTTTTCTGTAATTACGGCTTTTAATTAGTTTGAAGCTTATGATGGATTGTTGACGACGTTTGTATAAAGTTATTGCGTTTGAACGTGTTTTTAAAGACAGACATGCGCGCTCTGAGGTTTCCGTGGACTTGCAGACCTTTTCTGCAGTTCTTTGTTATTCTTGCAACAATTTCCACTCTGCTGCACTCTCTGGAATTCCCTCTGCCTGCTGCTGGGAAAATGTATCCACGCGGAAACCACTGGGCTGTGGGTAAGTACACGTAGATACACGCGTTCAATGTGATTATTTAGGATTTTAATGCCGCTTGCGTAATTGTTTTTGTTTAAGTTTTATTTTGTTATATACGCACTTTGAGTTGCCTTTTGTATGACCTGTGCTATACGGATAAACTTGCCTCACCTTGCCTTAAGTTGTAGTGGACTGTATGAAGAGTGAATTTGAAAACAATATAAAATTTGTCAATAAGTTGGAATCTTGCAGCTTCATGTTTAATTATTGGCAGTGTATTTTAATTGTTTTGGCACTGAAATAGATCTGCATTTAAAAAGAGAAAATTATAAGTCTTTCTAATTTCTAAAGGCACAAAACTCATAGCGTATTTGCTCCACGTCATCGCTGTTAATGGAGTTTTCTTGTTTGTCTAAATCAAGCTGGGTTTTTAAATTAGACTAATTTGAAGTGGTCTGATCGTTAGTGAATACATCATAATAATAATAAGTTCATGCGTCAGAATTATCAAGACACGGCGATAGCACAGGTACAGAAAGCAACTCAAAGTACAAAACCACAAACAATGAGAGAAAAATCATAGTCCATCAAAAAGAGTGCTGATACAATCCATCAGTTATATTCACAGCTAAACAGAACTGTTTTTAACCTGGATTTAAACATTGTCAAAGAAGAAGCCTGTCTCACATTTTCAGGAAGACTATCCCAGATTTTAGCTGCATAAATCTGAAACAATGTCTCCCCATGTTTAGTCTTGACTCTAGGACGAGCAGGAGGCCAGTCCCTTTGCTCCTCAGAGTCCCAGCAGGAGGCCAGTCCCTTTGCTCCTCAGAGTCCCAGCAGGAGGCCAGTCCCTGTGCTCCTCAGAGTCCCAGCAGGAGGCCAGTCCCTGTGCTCCTCAGAGTCCCAGCAGGAGGCCAGTCCCTGTGATCCTCAGAGTCATGTGTCGTGTCTTTGCAGGTCATCTGATGGGAAAGAAGAGCGTCAAAGGTGCGGCCTCTCTGCAGCGCGCTGACTACGAACATGACGTCATCAGAGCCTCGCGCACAGAGGAGGCCGCGCCGCGTCTGCAGCGGAGGACGCACACCCTGCAGCCTCTGCGCAGCCGCTGGAGGCGAGAGAACCTGTATCTACGAGAGGTATACGCACATGTACAATGTATATAGCCTTACAGTATCGCATAAAGACGTACTTTTGGTCACACTTTAGTTTAGCCCTCACCAATTAACTGCTAATTAGTTTACCCTAACCCAGACATGTGAGGGTAAAATGTTTAGAAATGAGTTTAGGAATGTTTAAAGGTATAATAGCACATTTGTTTTTACATGTATTGTTTTGGGACCGTCTATATAAAACACTTACTTTAAAAACTTTTAAAAGTTTTGCAAATAAAGAGTGTTCCAGCCTTTATGTGCACGTGGTGAGGTGAAGGGGAATGTCCTATTATTATGAATGACTATTGCGTCACAGTGGGCGTGGCATTGGCGTGACGTCATGGGTGGTTCTCCCGTGCGTGAGTGACTGGGTGAACTTTATATCAGCTCAGTGATTTAGGTATTTTAATTCCCTTTTTGTAAGCCAGGTAAATTCTCCCTCCCAGTCACAAATGGTCAGAACAAAGAGAATTTAATTGAACAGAACCCCAACCCTGCCTGGTCTTCCCCACCATCAGGCCTTTCTACCCCGACACCCTAACCCGCAGGGGCAAGTGGCAGCTATACATGTAGAATAAAAGACATACTCTACATTTCATACTTTCTTACATTCATTCAGTCCAATCCACTTTATACATAAAGCAGATTTCATAAACACAGCTTCCAAAGTGCTGCACAATAACAGACTATAGTGAAAACAAATCTTTAGCAGAACAGTAAAATCATTCAAAATCAAATAGGATTAAAAAAACACATCTAAAAACATAACAGTAAAACTAAATGAAATGAATGGACCAGACAACTCACTTTATTGGCTGATGTGAACGATAGGTTAAACTAAAGTGTGACCCATACTTTTTAAATATTTCACTATTTATTAAAAACATGCTTTTTTCTTCTTATTGCAGATAATCGACTTGCTGCTTATGGCTTTAAAACTCCAGGAGAATGGATCGATCTGAGTCCAAATGTTGTGTTCAAACGCTGTGTATGGAACAGTCTACTTTGTATTGATGCAATCTCCCAAACACCTGTAACAAGCGTAGTGTGTGTGTCTGTGTGTGTTTCCCTCCGGTGCCACACGGGGGCGCTGCTGCTCACGGGGACTGTGAGGAGGAGCCGCTCTGATTGATTGTCCCTGAGTTTTAATAGAACTGTGAATGGAAACAATTTGGCTACACACGTCTTTCTTTAAGCTGAGACAAGATTTCCGTTTTTCTCTGTGCATTTGTTACGGCTGATCTGTGAACAATGGACACGTAACAATAGGTTTACGAGCCACTTTCTCTCCTTTGGCCAAACTAATCCTCTGCTGCACTCGGCATGAAGTTTACAGAGGATAATGATCTGGAAATAATGAGATTTCACAAACACACACACACACACACAGAGAGAGAGAGAAGCGTCCCCGGAGCAGTCAAATTGATGGGTTTTAGTTTTAGAAGTGGACACAGATGCTAACGTTGAGCTAACACATTTTTATTTGTTTTTTAATTTACCCAAACACATAGATAGCATTGGAGATCCTCAGGTTTTATTCTCTTTTTCTTCTGTAAATACTTGTGTTTGAATAAAAACATACACACGTTTTTTGTTATATATTTTATTAAATTAAATGGAGACTGATTAGAACGAGTCCAGGCCTCCACGATATGATGGGACCCCAAAGGTAATGGTTTAAAGTTGATCAAAGGGTCATTGACAGAACTAGTGTCGTCACATTTGGCAAAAAAAATCCAAAATGGATTAAAAAAAAAACATAAATAAAAGATTTTGCAACTGTTGTCAGGTTTGTCTGACTGATTATCAATCTAGTGTGTGTTTATGTGGGGGAGTGTGTGTACGTATATGTGTCTGTGTTTGTGACTGTCTCTGTGTGTGTGTTTGTCTGTCTTCTTGTCTGTGTGAGTGTGTGTCTTTGTGTTTGTTTGTCTGTGTGTGTGTGTGTGTGTGTGTGTGTCTGTCTGTCCTTTGATAATTATAGCATTCTACATTTTGGCGCTACCTGCAGGTGAAAGCCAGATCCCATCAAGATAAGATAAACTTACAGACTGGTTGCCTCGCTTCTGTCAGTGTGCCCCAGGGCAGCTGTGGCTCCAGTTTTAGACTATAGACTATCACCACTGGAGTGAATAAATATTGGCAGCATCTTTGAGCGTCCAAAAACAGCGCTATATAAAAAAAACCACATGCCTTAATACATCCTCCTGTGAACTCACCCTGACTGCCACCTCCCCCCGACCCAGAAAGGGATTAAGGGGAAGAAAATGGATGGATGGAAATAATGAATATGTAACACAAATATGTCTTAGGAATTTATTATTTACATCTGTGAGCTGTTTGTACATCCATGTTCACAGAAAAAACTGCTCATAAAGGAAAGTTTTACGCGTCACTGCAAACTGGAAGACACAGGGCCAGAACATGGATCGAAATCAGTGACAATCTGTTTTTATTTGGACTTCAAAGCTGGGGTACCTAACTTTTATACCACACATCAAAACAATCAGAGTATTTAAATCTTTCTCATTAGCGCTGATAACTTTCCAACTTTGTTTTTTAATCACCAGGTTTCACACACATGCATTTTTGGCCTCTCTCACGTCTTCAGACCAACTTTTTGAGCCAGAAAAGTGAAAAAATACGGGACCAGACTCACTCAGCCAATCTGCTCATAAGGCTCTTTCTCACAGAATAGGCAAAAAACACCACGTTTTCTAATGAGATAAAGACATAATGTTGTGGTTTTAGTTGTTCACTTCAAACTCAACCATGACCAAGACTCTAATTATTGGAACAAACTGGATTTATACGGACATTTATCAACATTTATGAACATCGGCCATCCTGCATACATGTATCAATAACTCCTATGTGTTTGTTACTATGGCTCTTCCTGTCTTTGATTCTCTGATCTGTGTTGGGGAATCGACAGCTTTGTAAAGTCCTCCGAGGCGACTGCTGTTGGGATTTAGAGCTACACAAAAATACATTCACTGCACAAAAGGCTTTATTTCCACATTCCAAGGAAACATATAGTATCTTTTTAAAACAAGTTCATTTTGCTTTGTCCCATTGGCGAATCTTGTTTTGAGGTTCAGTCAGAATGTGCTCAAATTAAGATAAATGTTCCCAAATTTGAGTAATTTTCAACTTTTTTTTTCTTTCGTTTTTGCAGTGTTGAATTGAAATTGAAAGAAAAAGGTAGGTACCCCAGATATACTATTCCAACCTCAGCAGAATGGAATTTCTCATATACTGTAGTTCAATCCCGAAGAAGAGAGAAATAGTCTTTTTCTTGCTCTTCTTCTTCTTATTGTGGTGTTACGGCTGTCAGCAACCAGCCTAAAAGTAGCACTAGCGCCCCCTGCTGTTCCGGAGTCTGTGCTAGACAGCGAATTAGTCCATTGTTGATGCCTTTCCAGCAGCATCACCACGACTTTCCCATGGACTGAATGTGTTCTTTGGCTTTCATCCTCAGCGCGGCAATACTTGAGTTCCTGGGATCCACCGCGCATTGGTACGACACGGACACAGGTACAGACGGGCACATGGACCTGATGAAGGGCAGGTGAGGAGGAGGAGGGTTGAGGAACGAGCCCGAGAGAGACTGAGGAGAGAGGGAGGCGGACGGTGGAGCGGTGGAGTACGTCCCGATGGGGAGAGAGGAGTGAGGTGAAGTGCCGATGAAGCCTGGGAGGGACTGGAGGGAGGCGGAGGAGGAGGAGGTGATGGGGGAGGTGATCCAGGAGTCCATCTGCAGCCCAGAGCCCAGGGCGTGTGTGGGGGAGCGGCTGAACGACAGCAGAGAGGGGGCGCTGTCCTGGAGCTTGATGGCACTGACCTCCAGCTTCTCCTGCCGCCGCCATTTTGCGCGTCTGTTCTGGAACCACACCTGGAAATAATATGAAATAAGATACTTTAGAGTCGGTCAAATATACAAAAATAAAAAACAAATGTTATACAAGAGGAATGAGTGCAAACACGATCAAAACATTTAGGGTTTAATGTACTTTTGTTCAGCATTTTGAGTTGCCTTGTGTATGACCTGTGCTATACTAATAAACTTGCCGTTCCTTGTGTCTGCCCTGATTTTGGGGCGTTTCCACTGGCCGTGTTTGCCCAGTACCAGGTCCTTCTTTAGTCCCCCTTGGTCCTGGTTCTATCCAGGCCGCGCTGGTGCTAAAGTGTTCTAAATGACAGTGATTGATCAGAGTGCTGCTGGAAGATCTGGTTACCAAGGAATTTCCCTGAATACTGGTTTGTTGTAGTTTAGGTTGTTGGATGCAGAACCAGATACTGAAGCAGAAATAGAAACGCAACTGAGTAAAGTAGAGACGAGTGAGTAGAGTAGAGAGTAGAGTAGAGCTGAGTAGAGTAGAGAGTAGAGTAGAGCTGAGTAGAGTAGAGAGTAGAGTAGAGACGAGTGAGTAGAGTAGAGAGTAGAGTAGAGTAGAGTAGAGCTGAGTAGAGTAGAGTAGAGAGTAGAGTAGAGTAGAGTAGAGACGAGTGAGTAGAGTAGAGTAGAGTAGAGTAGAGTAGAGAGTAGAGACGAGTGAGTAGAGTAGAGCTGAGTAGAGTAGAGTAGAGTAGAGCTGAGTAGAGTAGAGTAGAGAGTAGAGCTGAGTAGAGTAGAGTAGAGTAGAGAGTAGAGACGAGTGAGTAGAGTAGAGTAGAGCTGAGTAGAGTAGAGTAGAGCTGAGTAGAGCTGAGTAGAGTAGAGTAGAGTAGAGTAGAGAGTAGAGCTGAGTAGAGTAGAGTAGAGTATGGCTAGTGGAAATGGGGCTTCATTGCTCCTCGCTCTAGATAATAAGTATTATTAACGTCAAAGGGAAAAAGAAAGGACCACTCTGCAGCTCAAAGGGTCAAATAGTGACTCCCAGGGCTCAGGAAACAAAATAAAAAGTACACAATGTTGTTTTAGCATTTGTTTTGATGTGGTGTCAATTTTTACTTTGAAACTATTTACTTTAAAATGTTGCCTCCTTTAGAATATCAAAAGTCGTTTCTAGATTGTGGGTCGAGTACAAGATAAGCTTTGTGTGTGTGTGTGTGTTTGTTTGTGTGTGTGTTGCACATTGTATAAGACTGTATTCATTACATCCTGCGTGTTGAGTAATTGTAGTATACTGTGTGTTGAATGGTATACTGCTTTATCCAACCCCTTTTTAAACCTATATTAATGTAAAGATATGGAATTTGGGTTCTACAGGTTTGATATAAATCTAATAACTAACTCTATAGGCCTAAAAGAAACAAGGACTTTGATACAATACAATTAGCAGTGGGATTGCAGAATACAAACAAAAATAAAATAAAAAAAATAATACAAAATAAATAAATAAAAATAAATACATAACGGAAAAAATACAAACAAAAAATGCCTGAAAAATAGAAAAATAAATAAATAAAAGTGGAAAAACCGTCACAATTCACAAGAGTTTTAAAGCTGGCCCCTGGTGTCTCTTCTTTCCATCGCGTGCTGCTCATTCCTGTCCTGTAACATGTGTAACTTGTGATTGCAACCCTGCTGTCCCGGTCTCGTGCCGGTCTCGTGCCGGTCTCGTACCTGCACGCGGACCTCGGGCAGGTGCACCTTCAGGGCCAGCTCCTCGCGGCTGTAGACGTCTGGGTAGTGGGACTTCTCGAAGGCTCGCTCCAGTTCGTGAAGCTGGAACGTGGTGAAGGTGGTTCGGTTCCGGCGGTGCTTCTTCTTGGAGCTCTCCTCATCCGACAGACGGCCCTCTGTGTCCGGGGAGGCCAGGCGCGGCTGCGGGGAGGGCTCCTGGACTCTACTGGCCCGACGCACTGCGGGGGGAAGAGAGGACAGAGGGCAAGGTTATTTATATAGCTCAGTTTATACACAAGGCCATTTTCATTCAAAGTCATTTACGAAACAAAACGATAAAATTGAAGGACGGGGAAATCAAAAACATATATGTTGTCAATGTGCATTTGAAATTATACATTTGACACAGCAGTATATTTAAAAGAACGTTAAAATAATATACATAAGCATTTAACCGAAAGTATATAGCTACAAGATACAGAGAGATATTTATAGACATAGACACACACATAGAAAAGATAAATTCAGGTGTCCATGCCAACACATACGTAAATTGAATAAACACTTTTCTAACTAACTAATTAATTAACACCATATATATATGGTGTTACAATGTAAATGTTCGTGTAAAACAATTTATACATTGTTTTACACGAAGAGCCGACAGCGCGTGCGGACAAGTTGACGCAAAATGTGTTCAATTTTTGTGTGTGTTCAGAATCAGAATTTTAACAGCGATATCGGTGTAAAAAGTAGATGATAATGACTAAATCTCTGACAGCAGCGCAGGCAAGAGACAAGGAGCACACATAAGATAGAGAAGTAGTAGTAGTAGTAGTATGTAGAAGTAGTAGTTTATTTCAAGGTCTAATTCATTTTACAATAGCAAATAACTAAATTATGTATTTTAAGAATTGTAGTGCTAAATAATTCTGTGAAGGTCATAAGTATATATTAATAATTATGTGTTAATATAAGTCTAGATGATACGGCAGAATGATAACATAATTCTGAAATGGCAGTATTCATGTCATAGTAATAGTAATGGCAGTTATTGCAGTATTCTGGTAATGTTTAGTTTTAGAAAGAATTAAGTGGCTTTAAAAACATGCAAGCCTTAAAAAGTGTCTCTTTACCAAAAACTAGTGAGTCATAAAAACAGTTAATTAAAATAGTTTCACTGCTTTTTTGAGTAGCTCCTGTCCGCGACAAAAAGTGAATTAGGAACAACTGTCGGATAGATTTCCCGAACGGACGCGGCTGTTCTTTTTTTAACCTATTTGGACTGGTCTCGGCCCGAGACTGCATGGTGCTGCTCCGCCTCCCCGCCATGGAGTCCCTTCGGTACTCGTTTTACAATCTGAGTCCTGGATCTACAGCCTCAGTCCTGGGTCTACAGCCTCAGTCCTGGGTCTACAGCCTCAGTCCTGGGTCTACAGCCTCAGTCCTGCACTGTAAACCCTGACAAGTAAAGTTTACTTGAAAAAACCATGGAAATAAATTGCGCATTCACTTCACTTGAATTCCTCGAGTACATCCTTTATTTGATATTACCAAGTAAACTCAAGTGATTGCAATAAAGTTTAAATTTCTACTTATGATCCGACCGGGATTCGTACTCAGAACCCTGTAGTTGAGAGGTAATGGTGTTACCCACTCTTGTGCTTGAATTTCATGATTCTCCTTTATGTTGTTGGCGAATTGACAACTTTTAAAAAAAGCCTCCAATACGACTGCTATTGTGATTTAAGGCTACACACGAAGATACATTGAATTTATATACTCCAGCTTTAGAAAACTTCCCTTTAAGTTCCCTTTAATTAATCACGTTATGTTTGCGTTCCCTGCGTGCAAACTGTTTGATTCTCTGATCTGTTTTAGACGAATGAACAACTTTGCAAAGTCCCCCCGAGACTTGTGCTGTTGCAAATGAAATTGAATTGAATTTTGGTAGTAAAAAACTTACTGTCAAAGCTCCCAGGGGCCCGATGCTTCTTCGCGGGGGTCCCAGTCGCTGCTACATCCTCATCTCGCTCGGTCTCGCTGCCTCCGGTCTCTCTCTCCATCGCCCCGAACTCCGACACGGACTTATTATTATGATTCTGGAAGAGCCCGTCCTCCCTGAACCCCAGAATGGCCTCTATGCTGTGGACCGAGGACCCCGGGGACACTGCCTCGTTCATGGCGGGGGCCGGTGATCCCAAGAGCCACATTTAGATGGAGAGGTCACGGGGACAAACACGCAAAAAAGTAGAAGAAGAAAAATGGAAATCACATAAAAATCTCAGTTTAGTTCTTGGGGAAGGTGTGAGCGCGACTTCCAAGCGCATCCAAACCTTCTCAGACCAAATCCAAAGCTTTTAAAGTCTCCTCTCCATGTGGGACGTCAGAGAGAAAAGGGGACGTACTTACTATTGAAAGAAGTACGTCCCCCTCCTCCTCTTCCTCCTCCTCCTCCTCCTCCCTGTAAGTGTGCCTCTCTTACAACTGCCAATAATATTGTCTCTAAACCTACTTACATAAATCTTAAAAGCATCTTTCTGCTCCTCTCCAGATGTCATGCTCATGTCAGACTGTGAAAAAAAAAAAGATGGGGGGAAGATTATGGCTCGCGCAGATTTAGGTACAGCACGAAAAACCATAATTACATGACTTCTTAGGACACGGATTGAAGCCTAATATTTAATCAACTCAATCATAAAAGAACAGCTATCTGCTCTGTCCTTTATCGTCCCCGCAAATGACGTAAAACAAGAACGAATGTGTGTGTGCCATTCAAATAAATATATAGGGAAGTAATTTAAGTACGATTTTTTCATATATTTCACAATCGATTTGAATGTCTTGTTGTTGCTTCTTGTTTTGTTCGGCACTTTGAGTTGCCTTTATGAACTATTGTGCTATATACGAATAAACTTGCCTTGTCTTCCCACAGTGTGTTTGGCGTCGTAGGTTTTTATCGACTTTTATCTAAAGTCCCACTGAGATTTGAGAATTTCTTTTTCAGGTTAGTTCTGGCTCCAGAGAGAGAGAGAGAGGATTTTAGTGGTATAGGGGAAAACCGGAGCACCTGGAGGAAAATGTATACCAACGCAGACACGGGGAGAACATGTAAACTCCAAGCAGTGCTATAATCCTCACATGTTTTTCTCTTCCAGCGAGTCAGGCAGAAGGACAGAGTTCCCTGTTTATTAAGGTTAATTGAGGCCATGGGATTGGAGACAGAGATACAGAAGGCACTTTATGACTTTTGTTTACTATAAAGAGCATGTGAAGACAATGATCAATGAGGGAAATTAACCTAATTTCATTTTAGGAAGGAGGAGTAGTAGCTTCTGCTCTTACTGGTTTTATAACAATAAAAAAAAATTCACCAAGTTTCTACATCTGCTCAGGTCCAGGTAGAGAGCAAAGCTAATGGAATCCACCAAAATGTTAACACAAGATGAGGGGGACTTTCTGGTTGAATTCCTAAACATAAAATGTCAACGTAATGCGACTTACTGGATCATGCTGATGTACGTCTCCACAATCATTGTACTTTACATCATGATTTTCCCCAAACACTGAACATATACTGAGAAGTTGCTGCAGACCAGCTGAGCTCGGACTAAAAATGACACAATCATCTGCGTACATTAGATGGTTCAGCATTGTGCTGCCGACCATGCAGCCAGTTTTACATGAGTTAAGACTATGAGATAATTCATTCATATAAAAATTAAATAAAATTGGGGATAAGATGCTCCCTTGTCTCACTCCATTACTCACATGAAAGGGAGCAGACAAGCAGCTGTCCCATTTCACTTGCATGGTCTGTTGGGCACACCAATATGACAGGATTCTGACAATGTATTGAGGGACACCTGCTGCAACCAATTTCTTGAATAGTTTCCAATGATTCACTCGGTCAAATGCCTTAGACGCAGCTAAGAAACACATAAAAACAGTTGAGTTTTTGCTCCTATAGTTGTTTAAAAGGATATATATGTAGTATATAAGACACTTGTGACCATGTGATGAGGTTAAAGGGGTGGCACTTGTTCGCTTGGTGCAGATTAATCCCATTTAAGGAGATTACTTTGTTTCACTTTAGTTAAAAACCCCAAACCTTTGGTTCCAGGAGACCAGAGCTTTGTCCTGCTCCACGTCGTTTAACTCCATCGTTACGGCTCAAACTCCAGGATCCGACAGCATTACACCACCTCAGCTCCACACTCAGTTTTACTCTTTTACTTTTTTAGTTTTTATGACATACAACTTAAGACGCTGCAAAAAGTGGTGAAAAATCATTTGGAAAAACTTGTCTTAATCTGAGCCCATTCTGACTGCTTTAACCCTTTCATGTTCGCTCCTTGAAGAAAGCAACGTCATTTTTTACTTTGTGGATTTTCTAAGATGTAGGACACTAATAACACAAAAAATAGTAAATAAATAAATAATAAATACATTTTTATGAGACCCTAGATTCAAGGAATTATTACCTCATATTCTATCATTTTTTGCAGTGTAGAGATCTCTGTGCTGTGTCCTCCTCATTCCTACCGCTCTGTACCTCGCGATGCAACCCTGAAATTTCCCCCACTGCTAAACAAACACAGAATCTCCCCGTCTTTAATTAACCTTTCACATAAACTGGAGTGTTCTTCCGTTGGGCCGTCGTTGGCGGTGGAGTGGAAGGGGACGCAGTGACAACCTTGAGTTGCCGTGATCCTATTAGCGGCTAATCCCTGGACTTGACAAATCCACAGACATTAAAACATTAAAGTCCGGTGTTTGAACTGAAAACTGGACTCGGACTGGACTCTGGGATGGAAGCCTCCTGTTCCCCGCAGCAGGCGCCACCATAATGCCCAATTAAATCAAGCCCAATTTCTTTAGTTGTTGCACTATCATGACCCAAAGATAGGATTAGGCTCCTCCCACTGGCTAATAATAGACCCCGCCCCTCCCCCCAGGATTCAACTCAACTCTAGAAATAAGACCAAATTCTGAGCCACAGACTAGAATTTTTTTTCTCTTGCATTGTTGAAGCTGAAAACCGTTATTTTTAGCTCTGCATAAGACTGAGATTTACATTTTATTTATACACTTTAAAATTCTGACATTCAGTTTCTTTTCATAGCAACATTTGTGTTTATTTTTGTTATTGTTATTATTGTGTCAAAGTCTGAAATAGTTTGTAAATGTGTTTGATTTTCTGTCCGTGTACAGCACTCTGGGTTGCACTGCATGAATGGCGCATTATTAATAAACGTTATAGTAGATAAAGGCTCTGAACTTCCCTACACTGCAAAAAAAATGATAAAATATGAAGTCAAGATCGCTTTGATCCAGTGTTTTTTTATCTTAATTTAGTAGATTCTGACAGATTCTCCAACAGTGCAAAACCATTTAGTAATTTTCTCATTCCAAAAGAGACATTTCTTGCATATTTTAAAAACAAGATCATTTTATCTTGGACCCATTGGAGAATCTTGTTTTAATTCAGTCTGAATTTGCTCACTTTAAGACACATTTTGCCAAATTTGAGCCATTTTTTACTTATTATTCATCTTTTTTGCAGTGCACTCTGGGCCTTGGTTTTGTTGGGATTTTGACTGGTTCCTTTCAGATGTAGGAGGGTCTAAGGACAGTGACAAACGGGACATTTAGAGACATTTAAGGACATTTAAGGATATTTAGGGACATATAAGGACATTTAAGGACATTTAGGGAACGGTTTGATTCTCTGATCTGTTGTTGGCGAATCAACAGTTGGGTGAAGTCCTCGGAGACTGCGGCGGCACAACATCCCGTTGAATTAAATTGAATTGAATTGAAAACAAAACTCAAACATGTGGGAATTTATTAAAATAAAATGTGTTTTTTTGAACATAGGGTCTTTAACACACTCACACAGACAACATAGTTCAAATGCAACACACACAGCACACAGAACATGTATGTGACAATGGTATAATGTGGGAGAGAGAGAGAGAGGGGGAGAGAGAGAGAGAGAGAGGGTAGAAAGAGGGAGAGAGAGAGAGAGAGACGGGGAGGGAGAGAGCGAGAGAGAGAGAGAAAGAGAAAGAGACGAGGAGAGAGAGAGAGGAGAGAAAGGGACAGAGAGAGAGAGACAGAAAGAGAAGAGAGACAGAGAGAGAGAAGAGAAAGAGAAGAGAGAGAGAGACAGAAAGAGAAGAGACAGAGAGAGAGAGAGACAGAGAAAGAGAGGGGAGAGAGAGAATGATACAGAAACAGGTTCAGTTTTTCAGCATGACACAGGTTTTCACACTCAGGCAGAAGGGAGTATTCACAGCAGTTAGAGTGGGCGTGGCCTAGAGTGGGCGTGGCCTAGAGCGGCGTGTTTTCCATTCAAACCCAACAGCACTCATCACACGTCAGTCAGAGGCGGTCACATGACGCAGCACTTCTCCTCGGCCTTGGTCTTCAGCTCGGTGACCGTGGCC